ATGTTTCGTTTAACGCCGCCTGCTGGGTGTTTGTTGGTATTTCTTATAATCATTGCTTTGTATAAGGTACAAAAAAAAAAAAAAAACACTTACAAGGAATAATGTCATTTGAAATACTACCCTTTCCGAGAATCGCATTCCCTTCCGGTCATTGTTTCTTTGCTAATGTCTCTTCGCTGCGATTTAATGAAAACGTGAAAATCGGAGAGGAAAAATCCTGTGAAGACTCGCATCACCTAGAAGCTTATTAAACGAGATTTATATTTTCAATGACTGCGTTAATAAAGGCATTGCTGCTGAATTACAGGGAGCAAATAATATGAGATTTAAACAAGAAAGCTAAATACTAATACCGTGATAGTTCTCCGAAATGGCTTACTATGAGAGCCGTGTCACTACTCTGAAAAGCGGCTATCTGAAGCGCAATAAACAAAGCAGATCTTGCTAACCTTTGCTATCTATGTAGTGTAGTTCGAGACAGTGATGTCTATAACTTGACAGAAAGGTGCAACAATAAATGATATAGAGACCACACAGATCTTAAGATCTTTAGAGTGTTTCTGGTTATTGGGTTAAATAAGAAGCATCAACGCTCATCTCGGAATTACAGGTAAGTCAGAAATCGGTAAAAACTTACTTCTGTGAAAGGGCGAAACAAAAAATTAAGGACTATTCTAGAGAATTATTGTTATTTTTAGACTTGTTTGCTTCAAAAAATATTCACGCCCAATGGATCTTTCCGAGAACATGACCCCTGACCTGACTGAATAATCGCCAAGACAAATGTCATAGTCTAAATAAAGTCGATAAGTGTGATTTGACTACAATACTAATAACAAGTCATTATGCACACGGTAATATAGTGTGTTTTGGCGAATACGTTTAGCATAACTCACACAATTTAATTTCAAGGATGGAAAACCCATCACTAACACGTCAATTGAGCGACGAGGAGCATTTTATCTCTCTTGAAGAATTCATCGCACGACATGTGTCTGAGCTTCCACAAATTGTCCAAGTTGGCAAAGGATTTTGTGGAACATCAGAGAGTCAAAGCGTTAAATCTAGAGACGTACTGATCATTTACAAAGTTGAAAGGAAGAGGAAAATACGAGGAAAACACTTAGAAAGTGGGAGAACACTTTGCTTGCCGAGAATAAGCGATTTGAAATTAGAATTGGTGTCGGAATATTCCGAAGATGAGTTCACAACTTTGGACGCGGTTGCAAAACTTCGTTCGAAGTACGTTCGAATCGTCGAAAACATTCCTTTGTTCGGCCTCTTCGCAGGAGATATACTGCAATTCAATCGAGAGCCTCCGTATTTAAACCTTGGTACTATACGGTGTTTCATCATAAACTTAAAAGATCCCGTACAAGTGGATTTACCTCTGTGCTTAGAGGGAAGGTTTCAGGTTCTCACTAAACATGGAATATTTTCTACAGACGACGTTTTGCAGAACTGCCAACTTCCAGTTAATGTCCGCGTGGTTTCTTATGGAAATAAAGCTATGGTTGACGGCTCTTATGAACACCCTCGAGCAAAGCAAGGAACAGTATTCGGAAACATTCTCCTGGAGTGCGAGGTCGAGGAAGAAGTAGTTTCTGCTATTTCAACTCGCGAACAGAATATGCTTTTAATGTTCTCAACGACATTAGAGATAACTGTTTCCCAGTACATGTCTCGAGAGAGGTTTATGTCTTTCTGGGGAGCTGAATTCGAGAAGCTACTAAAAGCATTACCAGATGAAAAAGTTCTACATGAGTTATCAAACATAAACTATATTTCCTTCACGAGTGATCCCGTGAACAGGTGCTCTTTGGAATCGTTACAGCAGTTTTGTTTCCCTTTCGACCGAGAACGAGGGATAGAAACAACAGAAAGACAAGTTTCAAGAGTCGGCTACGGGTCTGCCTTTAATCCTTCATTCCAGAAAGAAAAAACTACGACGGAGGAGAAAGGTCTTCAGAAGTTTCAACCAAAGAGCTTCTCCGAAGTTGAAGTACCTCCCCTTCCGCCAAAGATGACCTTGATTGCAACACGATCCCAAGCTTCTTCCCAGGAGGATTTGGCACGGAATTTTGACTACAAACGAGAAACTGAAAAACAAATAGAATCTTTCGAAACAATCGACAGACAGGAAGTTTTATCTGCACAAAGTTTGATAAATGACTTAAATGATAATCGTTTACCCCTAAGTCAGAGCTGTGATAAGCTGTTAGAGAACACATCACAACCGCAGGAAGGGTCAAAACAAAGTGACGTAAGTGATGCAAAGTGTAAAATGGAAATTTCAGGAGACATTCTCTATGAAAGTGAAGATCCTCTGTTCTTGGAATCCTTCACAAAGACAAAAGCTTACGAACCACCCGTCGACAAAAATGCAAATTTGCCTTCAAATGAATGTTTACCAGTTGACAGAAAACACGAGCAATCTGCAGCGCGCATATTACAACCGGCGCAAACAGGATCTGATTTACCACGCCGCGATCACAGAGCACTTCGTGAGGCAGCAGACGACCACCAAAGTTCGAGAGAAAAGGAGGCCGATCTAGACTTTAATTTTGCCACTAGCAAGGCAAATATAAACAAAAAGCATAGTATGCAGGATGATGAAGAAGCCTTCTCCGAACATAGCGACGAGGACAACAACTTTGATAGCCTCGAACTTGGTTGTTCCAAAAAGATGTTCTTTGATCTCACAGAAAACAATACCGAAATTTCAGAGCAATATTCAAGAGGAGTAACGAGTTCCGGAGCAAACAGCAAGGAAGAACACCGCATGAATGGAGAGAGTACAAAGAGAAACTTGTTTCAATCGCTGTCGTTAAGGCTGGGATGGCCCCGCCAGGAGGCTGGTAGGGCGGGAAAAAAGAACAAAGAGCAGGCTCTGAAGGGAAAAAGTGACCCGATGACGTTTCCACGGAGTAAACATACTTCATGCGAACAAATTTTGATATCCAGTCCTCGCGATGATGACTTCGAGTCCATGAGTAACATTAAAAAGTATTTGGAGACACAGGAAAGATTAGACAGAGCCCTCGCCCATATAAATCGTCTGCAAACTGAACGATCAGAGAACTTTGCAACGGGGACCACACCCAAGAACAGCGACGAGTCGGTGGACGCCCAAGAATCGGGATTGAGGGAATTCGAAAAAAGAGGATCTTTGCAAACAGAAAGTGAGGCTGAGAAACAAAATGGTCGGAAAGTGTTCTTAGAGCAAACGGGGAAACAAAGAGCTCCACATACACCAGCAAATACTTCTGTACAGAGCTCGCCTACGCCAGAACCCTTCGCCTCGAGACAAGCTACCCCATCTTGGCTGAACCAAAATCCAAGACAACAGCAAACAGGTGAAAATTGCGAAAGGGAAACCTACGGAAGAAGATCAGAAATGCCAAACAACAAAACTCCGCATTCTGCGATTGAACCGACTGACACAGAATCCGTAATGCCACTAAACCGTGCCTCACAGCGCGAAAACGGGCAAAGCCATGACAGCAGACGAGAAAACGACGAAAATTGGCCGTATCATGAAGATTTCGACGAAAAATGTTGGTCCTGCGTAGCTCACTTCACTAGCGCCCTCAGCGTGGAATTGTCTGAATGCGAGATGAAGAATGAGCTTAAAAAGTCCATTCAGCAAACGAACTGGACCACGGGGGAATTAATGGAACTGATCGAAATTCTGAGAAGGAAAATCATGGAAGTTAATCACGTACCGTACGTTAATCTACCACCATCACAAGAGAGGCAAAGGAGTCTTTCCGAGGACTTCAGCAACGCCCATGACTCAAGCTCTTCCCCTGCCTGGAATGAGGTAACGAGAAAGGGTATGCCTCCCTATGTCAATGTCAGCCAGGCAAGCAGAGAACCTATCATGGCGCCGTATCAAAATCTCGTGCAAGACTCCAGGGAGTCATTCACAGTGACCGACTCACAAAGATTACATAATCGTTCCCACGGAAAACCGCCGATACCAACGCCCAGAAGCACACCATCGTCTATATAGCTGTGATATACACAGTGGACTTAACATTCTGTTGAGTCTCTCAGAAAGAGTCAAAATTGGGTGTGCCTCGTGTCCTTAAAATACCGTTATAATAAAAGCGTGGGAGTGAAAATGGATATACCACGAAGATAAACTTCAATTGAACCATCATTTCTGGCCAGTGATCGGGTTAAACCTTAGCTATCGAGTTATCAGCTGAGTCGGAAGATACTGTTGGCAGAATGCCTTACATTACTCTGATTACAAAGAAGACCGATGTAGTGGCGTGATGTGAGCTTCAACTTTGAAAGTTGATTTTATCCACCACTGTCATCCATTATATTTAGCTCGACACCTCGCCTCCACTTTGACAACCAGTTCGTCTACGGTCAGGCGGGGTTTTAAAACATTTAATCTCGTTGTGTAATATATCTTGGTTTTCTTTTTTCCCCAATCTGTGTTTGAGACAGTTAGATCGAGCTAAAAGCTACGTGCTTTGCAATTGTGATAGACATTTCAAGTACATGTCTACTTGGAATATTTACAGCCATTGTTTTAAATGGCTGCAGATCGCAAAATTTACCTTAACAAACTAACAAAGAAAATTGTCTAAACCGCACTAAGACAGTTGAAGAGTGTACGTTAAAATTGGTAACATTTAGTATATTATTGCTGGTGCCTTACAACTGTGACAGACAGTAGATCGCAAAATTTACTTAAAATCACCAAATTGTCAAAGCAAATTGTCCAAACCGTACAAAGACAGTTAAAGAGTGTACGTTAAAATTGGAAATATTTAGTATATCATTTCTGATATGCCCATCGTGAGCTTTGTTCTGCTGAGCCATTTAGCTCATAGCTTTTCGGTGACCGTTACTTAGGTCATCATCGTCACGCAATAACTGAAATACACGTTGCGTGACAGTCAAAGTAACGGCATCAAGATCACAAGCTCGACCGTGAAAAGGTTGGGAATAATGAACTCAATTAGCTATTCAAAGCGTGATGATCGAGAACACTTTTTTTAATCAATTAGGAACGGTAAACTGTACAGTGTTGTAATGATTACGATTAAAAGAGAAATCTAGTCGGTACTTTAGTCCCCTTGCCTCTTCGGGCTGAAACTGAGATGAGCAGAGGAATTTTACGTGTAAATGTCAATACAAAAATCTTTAGTTCCCCATCAAAACTTTCTTGAAATGTTTGGGAGAACTTTGCTTCCACGCCTTTAGACAGAGTACCTGCTAGGTAGAGTTTTTATAAAGAAGCATCAAGCGTTCTAATTCGTCTTAGACCTCATGCACTTCGATTTTCAGGGCGTGGCCAGGCAAACTTATGGCTGTCACAATTTAATTTCGTTGCTGTGTCCAGACTAGTGACACTTAAAGAGAAACCCTAAGGATAAGTCCTAATAATTCTCTATAAGTTACAACCATTTTAACAGAGGTTGAACACAACGAAAGATTATAGCTGCGCCTGCGGTCTTTCGTCTATCAATTCCTGTTCAGTACCGAACTTGCAGCCCATTGGAAACCATCGGGGTGAAGTATCAGTTCATGAGGACTTCCATCTGAACCAGCCGAGCGTTCGTATCTCCAGGTAGACGGTACGGAATCAATCCCGCAAAGGTGATCAGGGCTCGCGCCTGGCGCCTCAAAATATCCCGGTACTGAAAGAGATCAGATAACTTTACCATTGAACTAGAGTTTATACAGGATGCAATCTCCCCCTGAACACTTACAATTCAAGTTTATGTGCAACCTATAATAAGCGTAGTACTTCAAGCGACCCTTAAAGGGCTTGTGCCGCGTGAGTGACCTGGGTTTGATCCCATAATGCCTTTCTGATCAGGAGTATGAATGTGCATCAGACAGCTGTCAGGGTAACCTGCAAATCTGTCGGGGGAGGTGGGGGGGAGTAACGCTTAATGGTTATGATCTTAATTTTCTTGTCTCTTTAAGCAAATGAAACCACATGCGTCACTATGCTGCGTGAACCAGTTCTTTCCTAAATGCAGGCTAAGCCCAAAATGCATATCATTCTAGTGAAGCAGCCTTACCCTTTCTTGTCCACCGTCATCTCTCAGATTTCTCTGACTACCAGCCAGTGGACTCTGACCACTCCCTCTGAATAAATAAATAAATAAATGAATAAATAAATAAGTATATATATATATCTGTAAATAAATAAACACACGTGTAAACAAATATATAAAAAAAATAATTTAGCAGTAGCACAACCATAGAACGGATCTTCGTTTCATGATTACAAGTTGCGCTGCAATTTGCAGAGTTGAACTTCGGAGGGATGTAAACTGAAGAACCAGGAGAAAATTATCTTTGCAAAGATCAGAACCAACCAAAATTCAAACTCCACGGGACACTTGGTTCAGGAATTGAGCCTGTGCCAGTGTGGAAGCGAGCAAAAGTTCTGCCCACTCTACTACCCTAACTGACCTATAGAAAAGGGTAGAGATGGACTCAAGAAAGACCTCATTTCATCAGAAAGCGATTAAACCAACAACAAAGTGGAGTTATTACAAGTGAAATCACTTACCTAGTGTTGCGATATTTAGTATACAAGATGTTCATTGTAGCTAGAAGTACATCTGGTAAGTTTCGTCGTATCTGATCGATAAACAGATGAACCATTACTTCACAGGGAAGGATAACGAATTAGCAAATATCTTTGCAAACGGAAAATCAATTCTGAAACAGTTCACCTGGACAGAAATGACATTTTCAGTCTTGTATCTTAACTTTGATTTAAAACTGAGGGATAATTAGGGACTGGAAGGACGTTCGTAGACAAAACTTTCCTTGAAGTAGTTTACTGAAGAAAATAAATGAAAAATAAAGTGTACAAGATGTGATCTTAAACAGGTTTTTTCCTTTTTTATTTCCCTACTTCATCATTGTACTGCCTGAAAGCTGCCACTCTTTCCTCTACTGCTTCACTTCCCAAGGGAACTAGTCTAAGCTTGTGCATGACCTGTAAGGAACACAGTAAGCTTAACTGTAAATGGTTTGAACCCAGGAATAGCAGTTGATTGTGGAGTCTGATCACCTACTAGGTGAGTCTATCCTTGAAAACATCTGTTGTTGGTAACAGTGGCTGTGGACTTGACAACCCCAATGGAGGTCATAATTAGGGTCACTAATTTTGACTTGGATGGCTAATCCTCACTCTTGACTCTGATGGCGTCTTCAGCTCAAGTTGTCCAAACATAAGTCACTGCCACTGATAACAGTCCTTTTCAGGACTACCCTCAACAAGAAAATCAGACTTCACAACAAGCAACAAGCCAGCTCCTATAAAAGCTCATGGAATGGTTGTAGAAAGTAGAAATCAATACCCCCTGTTCACTGAGGAATCCCTCAGTTTTCAAAAGAAAAAAAAAAAGAGAAGGATCAAGAAACAGCCAATTTGGTTCAGGTGGACAACTTAAAAGGGAGCTAATAATACAGTGCACTTTGAGTCTAAATAGAACTTGAAAAGGATTCCCTATTGAACATAACCTGTGCAAGATACTGACGTCCTTAGCTGCTCGATTTTATCTTGTTCTGCAGTAGCTCTTAATAGCAGGAGAAGTACAAAAAAAAAAAACCCCTGCCAGTATCTTTTTGAAGATAAAACTCACATCTAAAGCTGTGTCCTGTTGGCCAGCATGGTAGAGATCAAAGAACTGCATAAGATCCAACAAGAGAAAAAATGTGCTTATTCTACTTTGGCTTGCAGAATGACCCAATGTTCTGTATCTAAAGACAAAAACAGGGAAAAGTGTTGAGTCATAAGATATGAAATCCTGCAATTTTGAATCACAACAACATGACATTTATTAAATTATGGATTAGTGCTAATGAACTGTGCACTAGACATTGTCCAAGTGGTGCTGACTGCATTGTTTCAAGCAAGACAAACAACAGAACAGATCATGCAAATAGATAGAAAGAAAATTATACAGGTCTTATGTTTACAGATAAAATCTCACAGGCAACAAAAGTCAGTGTCAGTGTCAGTGTCAATTGTCAGCGTGACAATGTCAGAACCCAACTGATTCTAATGCATAAACATTTGATAATACCGTGTATACTGACTTGGAAAATGATGTGTGTCACCAGAAAGCAAACTAGACCAAGTTTCTATCACTGACAGTCATAAGTACCTCTGTGCTAAGTCTACAGCCAATGTCTGAAGTCTATCCCGTGGAGACTGAAGACCACTAGATGCCGAGATCACCTAAAAAGAAATGAGAAAATATATTTTTGTAATAAGTAGATGGTTACATGGTAAGATTTTAGGTATTACAGGGTTCGACACTAACGGTAGCCCACTAGCCACTGACTACTACAAATTCAGTTTTGGCTGGTGGTTTTCAATTTCCACTAGCTAGTTTGGCTAGTGAGTTGAAAAGTTAGTGTCGAGCCCTGCATTATTACCTTAATAAGTGCTGATCATAGTAACCTTTCTGTTAGTGGGAAGTTATAATGCCAGCCAGAGTTTTCACAGTCAAAAATTGGAAATAGTTAGCAAGAACAGAAACAGCTGCTTTCAATACCAGTGTTGGGATGAAAAGTTCTGGCAAACATCCCCAAAGCCAGCTACTTTTCATTGTTCTCCAACTGATCCAAGTCTCTGTATCAAGTATGAATCAATTGTTTTTGCAATGTATAACACGCAGTCACTGTATTTTCAGCCTTTCACAGACAACTATTGCCACCAGAGTAGAATGGATTTTTCCAACAAACATCTACGGCTTCCTGTATTATATCAAAGTCTTTGTTTCACACCATTACCTGACTAAGAAGTTTGTTCAGGATTTCCAAGGCTCTATCATGATTCTGTTGTGTAGAATAATAATAAAAAAAAAAACAGTGAATTTTTAGGTAAATGTCTTTGCCCAAATCAACATGTAGGAAGTGTTGATCCTTTGTAAGACAAATGTCTGTTTAAATAAGTGAATTTGTACCTTGGCTAAATCAAAGAGTTTGACAGCCTCCTCCGACAAACCCTTGTCAGCAGAATCCTTTGCCACAACTTCAATGATCTTTTGAGTATCTTTGTGAAACTTGTCAATACAGCCAGGCTAAAAGTGTATTAAAAGAAACAACAAGTATTGACTAAAGATGATGATAATAATAATAATAATAATAATAATAATAATAATAATAATTTATTAATTTATAGTGCGCTTTTTAACATATAATGATCAAAAGTGCATTACACTTGTCAAAAACCTTGGAATTAAAACGTACATTGTATATACATATGTATATAAGAAGAAAAAAAAAATATAAAAGAAACTTAGTAATATCTTTGCAAAGAAAAAGAGCTGCATTTTCATTCATTATCTCATTTCAAATTAAAATATTACCTTCCTTTTCCCATCTGGTTCTAGCTTTCCCAGTAGCATCTCAAACTGTTAAAAAAAGATGTAAGGGATATAACTCAATCAATTTACAGTTTGACTGATATTTCAATCAATCAATTAGAGACAGTCAGTCAGTCTTCCAGTGGGAATTTTGGTCATTTGGCCAACTCATTCAGCCTACTCATTTTAGTAATTTAAGGCACTAGTTCTTAGTTTCAGATTCAAAATTAATAGTCTTTTCCCTAACTGTCATTTGTCATACTTGTGAAAAGATGATCAAGAAAAAAGATAATACATTTACATTCAAAATCTATTACAAACATGTCCCCAGACTAAGAGTAAGGCAGTCAGTCAATCAGTCAGCCAGTCTGTCTGTCTGTCCGTTGATCTGTCATTCCGTCATTCCAACAGTCGGTGAGTTATTTAGTACAATTTAACCCTTTCACTTGCAGAAGTGATCAATATGTAACTTTTCCCTATAATATCGACACATTATCCAGCAAACAGGTAATGGGAATACTCAAACTTATCAGGCAGAAGTTGTTATCTTGATCTAGCCAGGGCTCGATGCTAACTTTTCAACTTACTAGCCAAGTGGCTAGTGACATCTTAGATGTTTTTAGATGTTACGACAATTTCAGTCTGTTTACTAGCCAAACTGGCTAGTGGAAATAAAAAAACCACAAGCCAAAACTGAATTTCTACTAGTGGCCTACTAGCTAGTAGTGGCTACCATTAGTGTTGAACCCTGCTAGCACCAAATTCCTGTAACTAATTTACAAGGAAATGTGGAGCAGCTATAGGGGAGAATTAACGATCAGATCATATAGGAGTTAAAGTGCACCTAAACCCAAAACTTTTTTTCGCTTAATGAAATAAGCATATTTTTTGGGGTATTTCTGTGCAAAATTTTTTTTAAATTTGCTCAAATCTTTAATTTTCTGTGCCCAGTCAAAATGGGGAAAATCGGCCACCATCTTGCCCCACGACCGAGTTTAAAGAGGAATGGCTCTAGCGGGTAATGTGATGTCAAATCGAGAACACGAAAGTCTGCATTTCACACATTTTCACTTGTTTGGGAAGGTTGCCGTCGATATTGTCCGAAATATGCTGACTAGGTGTGTTGTATGAGGAATGTATGAAGCGTGATACCCTCTTGCAAATTTCGCACGTTGCTACATCCTTCTACAACACACTTAGTCAGCATATTTTTGGACAATATCGACTACAACCTTCCCAAACAAGTGAAAATGTGTGAAATGCAGACTTTCGTGTTCTCGATTTGATGTCACATCACCCGCTAGAGCCATTCCTCTTTAAACTTGGTCCTGGGGCAAGATGGCGACCGATTTTCTGTATTTTGACTGGGCACAGAAAATTGAAGATTTGAGCAAATAAATAAAACATTTGCACAGAAATACTCCAAAAAATATGCTTATTTTGTTAAGCGAAAAAAAATTTTTGGGTTTAGGTGCACTAAATATAAAGTCATCAATCATCAACCAACCTCTCTAGTTTCTAAGACCAGTTCACTTATACAGGACATGAAGAGGTCCTCTCCTTGAGGTCCATTCATTCCCCTGAATACACGTAGCAGTCAATAAGTTATAATACAAAATTGTTAAACATACCCAATAAAATTAACCTTATCTCTACAAATATACAAACAAAATTTTGGTGAGTACATTGTTGTTTAAGGATTAACATGTTTTTTTTTTCCTTTTTTTAAGTGTGTGTGAATTAAAAAATATTTGATGGTTATCAGAGAGGCTTTCCACTTTTATCAACAAAATGTGCTGATCTAGAAATGGATATCTCTAGAATCAAAGAACTAAATACAAACAAGAAAGCATCCTTTTTATGTTGAAAAGCCTTTCAAGATAATGATGATCTTTTGTTATTTCAATGAAGAGTGACATCAAAATTCCAAATTTGAACTCACCTCAACAAAAAGAAATATTGAAGAGCTTCTCTTGGATCAGTAACCTCAAATTTCCGTGTGTAAGACATGATCAGACGAGCAAAGTTTAATCGTCTGCTGGGTTGAGGATCTCCAGAAAAGGTTGTCACTGAAATAAACCCACCATAGTTGACAATGTGACAGTAACACATACACATCCTTTACAAGGAGCAGACTGACAATTTTCAGAATCCTTGATGCATAAAATCAAAAGGCCAATGTATATACATTGGTGTCCAATCTGAGTTGCCATTGTTCTGGACTCACTATCCTCGTCTTCACGTGGAAACACAAAAGGATTATCACATGTGTGAGAGGCTAGTGAGTTCAGAACAATGGCAACTCAAATTGGACACCACATTTGCATTCAGTGTATGGAGAAAATAAAATGAAGTACTATTAAATTCACTGAGCCACAGTGAGAGCCAGTCAGCAGAGTGAAGTGGTGCAAAAAAAAAAATTGGTGGTAATCCAGGGTTTCGTGCTATTCATAGTAATGAATATAGAAAAGCAAAGTACTTGTGAAGCTATTGAAATAATATACTGACCAGTACATGTTGCACAAGAGGAAAATTATCTATCTGTGCTTGAAATAGCTTCAAATAGTACTATTTTAAATCACTGTACTTACCAAGTTGTGCTTGGATTGACTCAGGCAATAAAATAACATGCATTTTAAAGAGTGCAATAGCAAAGTGTACAGCATGACTTCTAAAGGCTTCTGTCCGTGACAAGAATTCTATGGCCTGTTCAAAGTAGAAATAAATCATCAGATAAGTTGCAGGTTTAACACTGTTACCCTGTAACATTTTATTTCTGACTCTTAACATCAAAAGACAATGCTCTTTCCTCCTTAACACTTGTTTGTGCATTTTGCACCCCTAAAAAATACAGATCTGCGTTGCACACTAACAGCAATGAAGGAAATACAGCAAGTTTATATAAGTTACAAAATTAATATAATAACATCTTCAAGATTCTGACAGTGTTGACAGAAAAGAAAACAACTGGAAGTGGATAAGTGAGATATTTCTTGGAAACTTGAGATTAGGGGCCAACCATTTAACTTTTGAGGGGGGTGGTGGTGGGCAATTTCTGGTCATCAAGAAATTTTTTTTTCCAGCAATCTGCTGTGCAGGACATTTTTTTCCATTCTAAATGCCCTTTTTTCCTGTTACATTTGGGCTGCATGCAATTTTTTTCTTCCAACAAGTGCTTGCAGGAAATTTTTTTTGCAAAATCACCCACCCCCCTCAAGAGTTAAATGGTCGGCCCTTATGGTTGGGTACCATCTACTCTAACCTACTCTAATCTGGGTCCAGTTGTTAAAAGGTGGATAATGCTATCCAATTAGTCCTGTCTATTATTTCAGGATAGGGACTTACTAAAAGTACGAAAAAACAATGTATAAAAAAAAGAACAGAAAATGAAACAACATGTAGGCAGGCTGTTAGCGTGGAATTTTGACAAAGTTCTGAGAATCAAATCAACTTACTGCTTCAAACTGGCCTGTCAAAAACAGGACTTGAAAGTACAACAAAGGTTTTTGATATGCATTAAAGTGTGCCTCACCTAGCAAGAAGAAAACAACAGTGACTACTCAATTCATCAGAAAATGAGATAACACCAGCTTCAAAACAGAACTTCTGACAGGATAACAATAAACTTTTCAAGAACTTTAAACTTTTGTTGGACACTAGACTGCGAATAGATCCAAATAGGTTGTGAAGTAAAGCAATCTGATTTTGATGATGCAGTCTGACTGTCCAGGTGAGGGTAGTTCTGAGAAGGACTGGTGTTGTTAGTGGTAATTAACGTTTTGACAACCTGTACAGGATTCATTGTCAGAGTCAAATAAGCAGTTTTTGTTTCCTCTCAGATTCAAGTCATGTAAGTCAGGGGTGGCTATTAAGAGTCAAAGATTTTAGAATTCTTGCAGCAAAATGCAAAATTCCCACCTTAATCTCAATCACCTGTGCTATTTTTTTATTCAGACATGGAGCTTGGATGTAGTACCTTCTCCTCTTACTTTACTCTACTATCATGTTACAATATTTCATAATGAAAACCCTGCTTACCAAACTGTTCCAATAACATGGTCTGTAGCCATTGAAAGGAAACGCCATCATTATTCCCTTCTTCCTCTCTAACAGTCACTTGACGAAGCTGCAAGATAACCACATTATTACAATGTATGTTAGCCAGAATAACAATCTTATGAAACCTTACTGAACAAATCTCCTGCAGACAATGTGAAACATGTTGTAAATGTTGTTCAGAACAAATTTTAGCTCAAAATGGTTTCATACCAGCTCTATTAATTTTTATCGCTCTTTGCTATGGACACTATTTCATACTCCTCAATTCTCAATAAACAATACGAAAAAAATATGGACAAGGCAATCATCTTAAACCATATTTTTTTTCAACAAGGCCTCTAATATTTTCATTTGACATGATGCTGTCAAGTTCATCTGAAATAATTGTGTTTTCATCTTCTCCAATATTGCCTATTTATGACTGTTAGCTGGGTTTCCTTTTTGCCACCCTTTAGATCATGTGACCTCCATGACGCGGAATGTTCTGTGTAATGGCGGTCGTTTGGTTGTTTTGTAATCAATAAGAACATCGTTAATTGCATGCTATTGCACGGCAAATTCAATCAACGCAGCAATAAACTTGGAGAAATTTACATCAGAGGAATTTTTGTCCTTACAATGATCCTTTGCATTATACTCTTTGTCCAGTTTGTCAAGGCAAAAACTACACATGAAATGTGTACCATAAATTTAGCCTCTCAAAGCATCAGCCATGTCTCCCAATCCCCATAATACAACACACCAGTATACCTTAAGCCACAGGTAGTCTTCAGTTTTGTTAGCAACTTCTTGATGAGAATCTGATTGTACATCACACTGACCAATCAGACAGTAGACAGCCCTGTCAAGCAACATAACCAAACAAACACTTGCACGTTTCATTTCAATGGATGGTCCTGACTACAGAGTATTTGTAGGTTCCAAACGGATATTTCATGATTTTAACACAACGCATCTCTGGTTGTTACCAGGCTGAGTGAGTGACCTTGTTCAGCCATGTGTATGATGAATTTTGTTCTGAAGATTGCGAATGTGAATCATTTTCATCCTATCGATTTTGACGAACATTTTTCAGTTATTTTGAGAAGGAACCCTCAGATTGTTTGTAAGTGTTCAACATTTTGATTGATTTGAGCTTTGTATACTTTCATTTTGCTTTCTTTTGCTTCGCGTTTGCAAGTTTCGATTGTGTAATTCTACTTTCAGAAACATATTTGTATGCAGTTTATTTGATGAACCTGGATTAAAAGACTCTAAAATTAATCAATCAATTCAACGGTTACAGTATTTACCGTATTTACCTGTGTATAATACGCGCACATGTATGATACGCACCCTTGTTTTTAACCAAATTTATCAGTAAAAAAGTTTTTCACAGCAAAAATGGCAAGTTCAATTTTCATACAATTATTCATTAAGACAACAAGAATAAGAAATTTACTATATCGTTAACACTATTTTGCTACTTAATTATCTATGACGTTATTGAAACCAAACTTTAGGACTTCAAGTGAGGCCTAGCTAATTTGACGATTCCATGGCCCAGTAAATATTATGAGTGAGCAACAATGTGTCCAAAAAGTATTGAAGATTTTGTGTCAAATCATTGTATTTTGAGAATTTTCAACCTAGCGCTAAGCAATTTTTTGGCCGTAAAGTCAAGTAAACAACAATATAACCAAGATGAATTCCAATGCGTAAGAAATTCACATGTTTTTCACTTGTAACAGCAAATCAAGAACTGCTTTAAATAAAGCTTTTGTCCTGAAATATTTCTTGCTCACTTTCATCTTACTTCTCATTGAAAAATTCAGTGTAATATGAGATCTCTTCACACACAGCCAAATTTGCAGATTCTCTTTGAAATCTGATCCACATGCCTGTTTGCTCACTTGCAAAAATATTTAGTGATTTTTGTCTTTCCTCTTGATTTTAGAGTACAAAATGTATTATCCACCTATAATTTTTCTTTGAAAATATGCTATTTAATTAGAGCTTTAAATGTGTTACTTTCTTTACGGTGCAGTAAATGGTTTGAACCCGGGGGTAACATGTGAAGGTGTAGTCTGATCGTCCGGGTGAGTGTAGTCCTGAGAAGGACTGTTGTCGGTGGTAGTGACTGACGTTTCGACAACCTGTGCGGAAGTCATCATCAGAGTCAAGTGAATGATTGTTGTCAGTAGAATGTTCTTATTCCAGTTCGTGTGAAATGATCACAAACTTATTCCAGTTTTTGTAGATCAAAAACTTATTCCAACTTATTGTTCTTATTCCAGTTCGTGTGAAACTACACAAACCTGGTTTCCCAATGCGACCTATTGTTTCTTTCTGTGGCTCTCCCACATACCAACTATCCAAGTACCTGACGACAATACTACAACCGCTAACCGACAAATCCAGACATAAACTACAATCCACTGAAGACTTCATTAACGCTACCAAGACTGTTCAGATACCTGATGACTACAAACTAGTGTCATTTGATGTGAAATCACTGTTCACAAGTATTCCACTTCAATTAGCATTACAATGCACTGAGACTGCAATCCGACAATCTACCGACCCACTACCGCTACCGACAGACGACATCATGGACTTGCTAAACATTTGCCTAACCTCTACTTACTTTCAGTACAATGGTAAACACTACAAACAGTTACACGGCACTGCCATGGGGTCTCCAGTTTCTGTTGTTATAGCAGAAATTGTGATGCATCGAGCATCGCGCCCTTTCGACTTGCCGACAAACGATACCGCTTTGGTTACGTTACGTTGATGATACAATTTCACCACCGTTCGACATGATGAAATTGACGCATTCCACAACCACCTTAACGAACAAAACACTGACATACAGTTTACCAGAGAAGTCGAAGAAAATGGCAAACTTCCTTTTCTAGACTGCCTGGTAAGCCACAACGACAACTCATTACGAATGACAGTTTACAGGAAACCGACACACACCGACAGATTACCAGACGAGTCATCCTACAACCTACAACCCTACATCACACAAAGCCACAACTATCAGAACTCTAACATGACGCACACAACTAGTATGTGACTCGACAGACAGCTTATCCAACGAGAACAAATACCTTCACCGCGATTTTACGAAGAACAACTACAACAACGACTTCATCCGACGAAACACTCACCGACCCACTACCACTACCGAAACAAACGACACCGCAACCCCTTCGACTACAGCAACAATACTGTACATAAAAGGCATGTCTGAAAACATCTCGAGCATCTTACTACCCTTCAATATCCGCGTTGCCCACAAACCCATCACCACACGACGTCAGTTACTAACCAACGTTAAAGACAAAGACGAACCGAGGAACAGACAGGGAACGATTTATAAGATCAATTGTTCCGACTGCCAAGCCTCCTACATCGGTGAGACTGGCAGAAACCTCACAACAAGACTGACTGAACACAGACGGGTGACGAGGAAAGGTGATGTCAGCAATCACATTGCTGAACACCATCGACTTACCAACCACAACATTGACTGGGACTCTGCGCAATGCCTAACCTACAGCACTGACTATTTTCAACGACTGACTCTGGAAAGCTGGTTTACTAACTTAGAACAGACTCCCCTAAACAGATGTCAACAACTACCCGCCCCATACAAACGACTCATTCACGACATAAACATCACAAATGACCGAAAAAGAACGACCTAACTTTACCGACAGATCGAAACAGACCAATCACGACCGACTTACGTCACTTGAGTCTTACAGCCAATAACATCACGGCAAAACCAACCGATCTTTTCACTCGAACTGGAATAAGAACATTCTACTGACAACAATCATTCACTTGACTCTGATGACGACTTCCGCACAGGTTGTCAAAACGTCAGTCACTACCACCGACAACAGTCCTTCTCAGGACTACACTCACCCGGACAATCAGACTACACCTTCACATTTCTTTACGGTGTTTTTAACGTATGCAAATTAGGACACGTGTGATAAACAATGGAATCCGTGTATAATATGCACGGCAATTTGGACGGTCATTTTTATAGAAATAAAATGCATATTATACACGGGCAAATACAGTATGCAAATTAACCTTATCCACTTGGATGGTTAACAGGCAGTAGCCAAGTGTAAGGATGATGTACCAAAGAATAAAGGCTGATAGTTTCTAAAGAAACTGTTTGGGGCTGCATTGGTGGGGGTAACGAAATAATTTGGAAATATCAACAAAGTTGAAATGGTAAATTGGCCACCGTAACAATTACAAAAGCTGACATTTCGAGCATTAGCTCCAATGAAGGGCTAACGTTCGAAACGTCAGCTTTAGTAATCGTTACGGTGGCCAATTTACCATTTCAACTTTGTTGATATATCCAAATTATGATGTACTAAAGGACACGTAACTGAGAAGAGTTTCCATTTTGCTGATTCTATGCAACATTGAGCCTAAATTTACCTTTTAAAGGGATCTTGACTGGTACGAATAGATCTTCTATACTGGAGCCGTAGCTTGCTTTCTGAACTGGGAGAAAGTCTAAGAAGAAATGGAAACTTCCAAGATTAAGTTCATCTTTTACTCAAAGCACTCCACATTTACAGGTACAACATGGCATGTCTGAATATCACCATTTACCTGCTCTCTTTGCTGTTCAAATATTCCACAAAAAAGTCTCGAAATTCTGCCAAATGCTGTCTGGAATTCAAAAGAAAAATGTGATTGCACATTTATTAAAAAAAAGAGCCAACATGCATTATGATATATCTATTAACTTTCTATCCCAAATGGTGCAAGTTGATTGGCTATGCTCCTTGCCTATTCTGCAATAGATAATGATGTGGAGGAATAAAAGTATGAGCCTGTCATCTTAGAATTATAGTGATCACAGTGTAGTTGATTTATACCAAAATAATGAGATTTCATGCCCTCAATTTCTTTTATTTGATAGTTGATTCAATCTTCTCCTTTATCAATCATAACATGAGAGAAATCTCAAGCTTTTAATTTAAAACTTTCAATATCTATTAACCTACTACCTCATGCAAAGTGAAAGGTGGAGATGTGGGCTGGGGACAACAATTAAATCTTTATTCATAAATTTATTTCAAGTTCACGTGAACATGGAGGCCCATTGTCAGGAAAGTCTATCATAATTTCTGTGGGATTGGCAGCAAAGAGTTTTGCCACTCCCTCTAGATAAGAATAAGTCCAGGAGTGTTGAAACATTGGTTCTACGGATTGTAACTTCCCAGTTACATTCATTAAATTTTTAAACCAGAGTAGCCTCAAACCATGTCTATCCATATTAATTGTGAAAGATCACACCAAGTTTCCTTGACAGTCTATGGTAGAGAGAGGCAATGTTAGTGAAGCCTTTTGTCTAATGACAAAAATCAAAGATCTGGTTTGGGCAAGTACCCAAACTTCTCGATCCAAAGGATACCATGAAAACCTCTATGATAGTTCATCTCTTGCATGTACGGGCAAAAGGAATCATCTTAAATCCCTTTTAGCAGAGTATGCTGTACAAAGATAATTTAAATAATGACAAAAAAGAACATTCTACTCACGGCACATGTTTCACAGCTTGTAGAGCTGCTTTAGGGTCTCCACATCGCAGACAGTAATAAATTAATGGCCACAGTGGGGTGCCATCAACATCACCATCCTGTGGTATGTAGCAAAAATTAGAGATTAAAACAACACTGGCTGCAATTATTATCAACCCAGTGGTGATGAATGGAAAAAAATGACTCTATTGCATTTTGAAAAACTGAAGAAAAAGCTGAAGAAAAGCTGAGTGTTGCAAAGGAGCTTTACTAAAAATGCATGCTTTTCAAAACTTACTATGGTTTATCCACTTTACATACTTTTAGCAGGCATTCAACTAATTGTTTCACCTGCCTTTTAGGAAGGAAGCTAAAAAAGCTATATTTATACTTTCACCATATCAATTCCTTTATTTTATATTAATATTTTTTTTCCATTGAGAATCCCATTTTCATTGTGTTCCCTATTTAACACCTTCCTTATTACAGTCTGCATCATTTATTTCTCAAAACTACTCATAAAGCTATTACCCACATTTAAATTTTTATAGGTATGCATGACAGAATTTATCTGATTTGCAAAATTTCCATTCAAGGAAAAAGTTAAACTGTAACATATGGTTGACATTAGAATCCGGTAGGCAGCGGAAACCTGCTGGCTGCCAATCATTAATTTGTGCCAGCTTCTTTGTGAATGATGATCCAAGTCAGAAAACAGGTATTTTTGAACTGATCCTTATAATGTAGCAAATGTAAGGCTAAAAACATTACTCAATATTTCCCAGAATGCTGAAAATTCCATCTCAGAGTTTCAATTTCACATTTTCCTTGGAGGAACCTTCCCCAAACCCTTAAGTGTGGCATGTTGCGAAGCAATGTACAATGCTTGCTCCCCAAGAATAAATCAATTTAGTTGCCTATTCAGTTCAGATCATACATCTACTACATTTTGCATGAAAACCCTGCTAACATGTACACCGGTAACCTGCATGTGAACTGACCTCAAGTCCTTGTACAACTGGAGGAAGTTTAATCTTCAAAAAACTTTTGACCAATTGCAGAGTGCCTGGAACTCCTCCCAACTTTGCTTGATGCAGATTGCTATAAACAGTGTCCTGAACAAACTTTAAGTATCTAAAATAATAAAAAACACGATAGCTCAGGCTCTTCATTCAAATAATCATTAAATAAGAATGTGCTCTTAAAAAATGGTACCCAATTTCTTTACCTTCCTTCCAAGAAACTTCTTGCCATTTTAATAAATGCCACTTGAAAATCCATAGAAAACCTGAGACGAACACAGAATTAAAAGAATACACAGAGACATTTCATTTGTAACTTAAAATAGTTCTTGTGCACAATATTCTTTCACAGTGATCTACCCTCTTTTAAAATTAAAGTTAATAACAGGATAGTCCAGAGACTTAATTATGCTTCTAAGCACTACAACCTGCAAAAAAAACTTGTCAACAAAATCAAGCTTTCAACATTACAAACACTTGCAACAACAAAACATGTTCATGAAGGTTTGTTTGTTAAGTTTACTTGCTTTTAATTTAGCTGTGAGCCTGTTGATTTTACTGAGTATTTGGGTTTCCCAGTGAACTTCTTGATTTTCTCATTAACTTCTATTTCATTAATTAAAGGCTTTTTCCTTCAGATCTGCAATCAGTCTTTTCAATGCTTTAGGAGTTGTATGATATTGTGTTAAACCTTTTACACCCTTACGTCAAAATGCATATTCTTCATACTGTTCTCTAAACATTTCTTAGAGTGCTAACTAGCAGAGTTGATCTAACAATCAAGAGCTTCTTTAGTTGGTGATCATTTTCATTATTCTCAAGACCTTAATGTGTGATTCAGGGCCTAATCTGTAAGGAGAAATTAGATGCTAGCGACGCTTGAGAGGCCTAATGCCTCACTCATACTGTTTCAAATTTTTCATTGTTCAAGCATTTACTTCACCCAGCAGCAAATAGCTGTTATTGGGTAGAAAGCAATTTCACTTCTCAGTAGGAAACTTACCTAACTTCCTCTGTCATAACCTGCGAGGAACCGCGAGACCTTTGAAGTTCTTCCCCAAGTTCTTTGATAAAAGTCCACATGTCCTTAATGATCTGATAAAAGAAGAACAATCAAAGTTAATTGGCTTGTAAATTAGTGCTGATGAGCCAAACATCCAATGAGAACACTTGGCAAATAGTATTCACCGGATCTTCAAATCTGTCAATGAGTGTTAAAAATCCATCCACTATGTTATGTCTTGCTGATTGAAGGAGGGCTTCATTGTGGATGTAAACCTGGGACGAAAGTCAAGATTAAATTTAGTTCACTTGTAAGATAAAAACAATCAGGGCCTAGCACTTACTTTTCAAATTACTAGCCAAGTGGCTAGTGACAACTCAAATGTTACAACAATTTCAGTTTGTTTACTAGCCAAACTGGCT